TGATATAAGAGTGTGGATTTAAGAGGATAACTTTTGAAAATGAATGCCATTGCTTAAACTATTCCAAGAAATAACAAGTCAGTTTTTAGTTTTAGGAAATGTTTTAAAACAACAAATGTTCTATCCTCTGTAATTCAGTTACTAGATACCTTGAAATTAATGTATTTAATGAATCTGACTAACGCCTTATGAACACTATTCACGTTTAAAAAAGAAACGAGTCGAAAAACTTTCTTTCACTAATATTTACTCAAAGGTTGAAAACAATCAACCAAAACTGGAGCCGGAGTTTTCTCGCAAGACCTAAATATAAACATATCACTAGCGTTAGGCCAACACAGTTCCATATTTCAATGTGAATGTGTGGCAATAACTTACGCTGCCACAACGGCCATGTCAAGGGGTATCAAGGACTACAACATCCGAATAATATCCGACAGCATGGCCGTCTTAAAGGCATTGGAGGGCAACACAATGACCTTTGGTATTGTCTTCGAATGCCACCAAGCACTGGAACAGCTCGCTATATTCAATGGGGTACTCCTCCAATGAATTAAAGGGCACAGTAACTCACACGGGAACCATGCCGCAGATGAGTTGGCAAGGAGGGCCTCGGCAACCCCAACCTCTGGCCCAACCCCACTCCTGCCCATATCGTTTAACCAAATACGATGCTGGGTCAGGCAACGGACCTGTGAAGCACACAACCGGAGGTGGAAAAACTCACCCGGCTGCAGACAGTCCAAACTGGTGCTGAATCAAGTCACACCACGACTCACCTGCAGACTGATCAGTCTTAGCAGACCGGAAATCAGAATGGTTGTCGGAACTATTACAGGACATCTAGCCCTGAACCGACAACTATTCAAAATCAATGCGACGGACAGTCCCCTGTGCAGGGGATGTCTGGAAGCTGAAGAAACGGCCGTCCACGTAGTCCTGGAATGCGAGGGAGTGGCCACACAACGGGCAAGTATCATTCCTGAAATAAAGTCGCTCCTAGAAGCCTGTAAACGCCCCAGGAGGCTTCTGCGCTTCTGGAAGGAGCTTGGCTGGCTCATCTAGTCAACCAATCCTCGACGCATAAAGGACCACTCTGAGTCTAAATGCGGAAACCGAAGCCCACAACCAATACCAATACCAATACCAATCAACCAAAAAAATATTATTATCTCGTGTAAAATATTTAGGATAGTCTAATCTGACACGTTCTAAAACGACAGTCATTCAGAGCAATATTCTGTATCAATAAAGAACATTATGAAAATAATAATGGATTCAAATCTTAGTGAAATTTTGATAAAAACGCTTGGATAATGAACACTTCAAAAAAAAAGGTGTGTTAAACGTGTTTAAGTATAAGTCTACCCACTTAATTTGTTTGATCAGTTATATATTAATACAATTGCATTACCACTTTTTTTATCATTTGATAAAATAAACGATGAAATTATTTTGCTCTTGTTGGTATTAGCCAAAATATTCGTTTCGTTTCTTGTAAATATGAATGCGAATGTGAACGCGAATATTCGTAACATCACTAACAGGTATCCACTTTTTTGGCACATTAACACTGACACCATAAAAGTCAAAATTTATTGATAATAATTAATAATATTGTATAAAGTAAAATAAAAGTTTTTTTGTACATAACTTTATTAAAAATCGTTAAGAGATTGGTAATACAGTGACTGGTCACTATCTTTAGATTTTGAGAAATAAGGCACATTTAAATTGGATACCGGTTTGACGTAAATCAATCTGTTTTCTACGTACATTTAAAGACCCATAATTTTAATTGATTTACAAATCTATTTAATTGATACAAAGCCATTCTAACTGTTTTTAAAAATTTAATTTTGTAATATTCGTATAGTAATCAGATCCGACTTCTTGTGGCGTACAATAAAATAATTTAAACACTAATTGGCCAACGCGCGTGACTTCATTTTGTGCGTAATTCTTTTTGAAATCCGAAAACGAGACAGAAAAACATACAAAAACTATTGTGCGAACGAGAGAAAAATATGTGATGAGATGATGTTAAGGCATATTAGTAGCTTTTAGGACGATATCGGAGCCCGCGTCATTTGGTTCTAATGGGCCGGGATTGCCTCAATTTGATCTGCCGTTGGTTGTCTTTTTATACATTATGCCTTAATGGATCACGGTTACTCTATTTGCGGTTGTTGTTTTATGCATTATTATTTTTATTAAATAAATTATTTTAATGTATGTCTGTCGAATATAATATTTATATAGAATGTTCTATTATGAACAACTTATTCGACTGCGAAATTATGTCTTAATTTATTCCACATTTAAATATTTGACCATATATTAAGGCTGCTAACACGTATAGATGCGGAGCAGAACGGCTAGTAACAGTTAACACCCTTCGCTACAAAGTTTTTGTTATTCTGTTTTGGAAACAAAAAATCTTTGTGGGTTTTTATAGGGGCGTTTTTGTACGTGTTTGTCTTAGCGCGGGCCGATAAAGTTGAAGGGACAGGGCTTCTCTGTACTAATACTTAAAGGTAGTTTTTACAAACCTTTAATAATTTGCGCATTTTGTACTATGCTTAATGTCTCTGATAATTTTATACCACATAGCAATCCATTTAAATTTTAAATATAATAATAATGGCTCTGCCTCCAACACGATTTAGCTTATAATTTATTCTAAATGTAGCATACTAGGTAGTAAAGCTGAAAGTTCAAATAGTAATATAAATGACAAGTTGATATAATATGTTTAGTGTAAGTTGCTGGAACTGAGAATTGACTCCAATTTATTAAATTTGTTTACTAAATTGATCCTGAATAATTGCTTGTTCGTATAACTTATACAAAACCGATTGTTCTAGTTTGAAAAATATATAATAAATACTAAACTAAGATGAAGATTAACTCCAATGCAGGTAGTAACCCTTTTCACAGTGTTAAAAGGTTGTTAACCCCTGCAGACAAGGGTAGTCGAGCCAAACATCAACGTGTGTGTCGCGTCAAGGGACGACACAGACTAGACAACCACATGAGATCCACTTGTTGCTATTGATTCGTATTTTACAGTACACATTTTTCAACAGTCGCCCATTAGTGGAAGTAAAGAAGCCGATGACGAAAGTAGACTATGACGCGACAAAATTCTCCGACGTCAATAATAAATAAAAGAAAATCGAAGTCATTTGGTGTCTCAGTTCGGGAAGAGGAATGATTAATGTATGCGTTGTTTAAGATTTATTTACATAATGTGAGAGACGTATTATGGTAGGCGCACTTTTTACCTCAATTAGAACAGCACTTAATTATAGATTACGTGACATCAGAATTAAAAATTGTAAACAGTAATAACAACGGATATTGAATCTTATTTATATACATTCAGACGAGGAAATGTGGACATGTATTGTACTCGTAAGACGTTGACATACACGAGCGAGACACGCAGGCCACACAGACGGAACTGTCTAACATAAAAGCTATGTTGTATTCTTATTGGCATGGTGTTGGGCCATGTAGAATCTTTACTCGGCATCGTTTTATAGTGTGGTGGTGTGTCATATACTTTAGCTTTATGGCTTACGGCGCGGCGTTCGGCCGGTCGGCGTGGGCGCTACCTACTCCAGAATCGCAGCCCACGTGCCGTTGATCGCAGATACAATTGTCCGCCTGCGACTTGTTTATTAATCTAGATTTACCAAGAAAATTGATACCTTGATCATTTAGTTTCATCTAACACACCCAACCATATAACTTTCGGTCTGAAACAAACAGTTGATCGTAATTAACATTGGTATCTGGACCGGTTAGCTGATTTTGCAATGATTGAGCAGAAACATTTCAGTTTAACGCTACTCTAACTAGTAAACTTATAGACGGCAAATTATAAACAAAAAATAAACGTTATTATGAATAAATTTAAAAATTTTTGGTGATGACAACTTAATTTCTTACAGTTCGATCTTTGCATAACACGCTGCAACGGTACATAGCGGCAGTTAAACTCACTACGGTAGCCATTTTATGTGTTTTGATCAATTTTATGGAAAGATGATACATTTGAAGCTGGTTCGTAATGTCATGTTGGGCACGGAATATGTAATGAGGGAGCTCATTACATATTCCGTTTAAATTAATAATTCCGGTTGCAGTTTTTTAAATCAAATCGGCCAAGTAACATTAACAAGACTTACCGGTAAATGAATAATTAAACGTAATCCACTAAAAATAATGTGCTGCCATTTAATCAAACCTGCTGACACTGTGTACCTGCATAAATAATATAGACTGTTTTATTATATGGCAAATGTTTTCAAGGTTTGCTAACTAGTGAACCTTGAAGATATGTACACCAACCGACTAACTTGTACCTTCATGTTATTATTATTTAGTAGCTATCCTTTATTACGTAAGTGATGACGTAAGTGAGCTCTTAAGAGCTGCCTTTTAATCGTTAATCGGCAAGGAAGATCTGTGTACCTAGCTAATGAACTAATTTCATTCATTCAATTTTTAGAAGTGATGCACGAATAAGTTCCCTTAACAGAAATAACGTATAAATTGTATATATCTTGTCTTATATATAAAATTCTCGTGTCACAATGTTAGTTACCATACTCCTCCGAAACGGCGGAACCGATTTTTATGAAATTTTGTGTGCACATCGAGTAGGTCTGAGAATCGGCCAACATCTATTTTATATACCCCTAAATGACGAGGTTGACCCCTATTTTTCTTTCAATATTTCCTAGAAATAATGTATATGGCAAAACAACGTTTGTCGGGTCAGCTAGTATTGTATATATTTGTAAATTGTAAGAACCAGTCACCTGGATGATGTTATTTTATTTATTGTACTAAAGGATTGTCGCTCATTGTTATTATAAGATCAGATTAGACTAACTTAGGTAGAAGAAATTTACTAAGTGGTTTGTCAGTCATCAAAGTTCTATTAAAAGGAGTGCCTTACAAAAACTAACCCAGTACATTATTTTCAGTGGGTTAACATCCACGGCCGAGCGTGGCGTGACGCCCGTTTACCTTCGATGTCGAGAGGGCACCATAGCCTGGGTGTATCCCAGAGGAGCCCTGCGCCTGCTATTCCGACCGCCTTTGCCCGATGATGAACAAGACTTCCGAGTATGTGTCCGTGTTATGCGGCGACCTGACCCACCTGATCTGTTCCATGATCTGCAACAAAATGATACAGGTATACTTAGTAATAATGTAGATTTGATAAATTATAGTAATAAATTACTTTAAAAAAACTCATGATGTAGTTACATGTGTTAATGATTCGTCAGTAGCAACTAAGAGCGAAATGTCTTTGCAGAAGTTGCGGAGCGTTTTCCAGCCCGTCTCTTTGTGGAAGGTGCGCATCGTCTAGTCCCACTATATGCGCCTAACGACGGTGATCCAAGAGAGCTGCGATGTTTTCGCAGCCGACGAGGCCGTGCTGCCCTTTATGTAGAGGCCGAACCAGAAGGCGGTACGCAAAGGAGAATGGCTAACTTCAGATATGAAGCAAAGGCGTTAATGAGACGTCACTATGACCCCACTTCAGCCGACTGCCGACCCTGCACTGAGTCTGAACTAGAGCTCGCCTTCTGCACCAGCGATCTCGGTTAGTACAAAGACCGCACACAATTTCAAACGTTATTCCATTATCTACTTCACCGCAATAATTAGTAATCAGAAAACCAAGAGCTGCCCTCGCATAAAAAAATGTTAATAAAACCATGCCGACCCGGCTTCGCCATAATTTGTCGCCATTATCAAAATTCCTTGGACCTGAAATGAAAAAATATTTTACTTAAATGTAGCTTTTTTTCACTTAACTACTTTAAAGTATTTTAGGTACACAGGTTTAAAATCTTACATTTTTACATTAAAGATTTGATATTTACGTATTATTTTTGAGCATTTGTGTCGCCGCTAAGTGCTAGTCGGATCTTAAGATTAGATAGAATTTCTTACCAGCCATGACTCAGCCTTAACGGAATCTTTTGCATAGTAGTGGCAGTGAGTCGGGATGATCGTTGCTTACATTGAATAAAATGTACTATGTACGTCAGTCGGTAACAGTCGCGGTTGACAAGTTTGTACCGGATAGACAAGTATGGTTATAGCGGCACGCGACCCGGCAGGGAGTTAACGTTAATAGTTTTTCTGGTTGATAAATTATAATAGTTGAGGAGTTATGTCACTGCAGCGAGCCCGCTCCCCGCCGCGGCGCTCGCTGCACCCACGTTATTAGCTACCTCCAACACGTATCATTGGTTTTTTGCTCGTAGCGTCCCATAAAAATGCTGATATTCTTTCCTCGGTCAGCCAACCTACGTGTTAAGATTCTTTGTCATTTAAAACTGACAGGGATTGTTGCAACGGGAAATTATTATTCGATTGTTTCTAAGTTCGTTTAGAATATAATTTATGTATCAGTGACCGGTCAACAGGTTTTGTTTATTGGAAAAATATTAATGAGCTTAAACCTTACTAACTTCGTCAGCCATTTAAAAATGATGTAAATAATAGATATACGAATATTTCCATTTCCATCTATTATTTGTTAACACTAACTTACAATTAAATTAACTGTTGTCTTAGAAGTACTTTTAACTAAGACAGGCTGACAGTCGTGATGGGTCGTTAGTAAAGCTTGTATATAATTACGGGTTCGGGTCTACGGGTTGATGACCGTTTACTAAGACTAAGTCTATTCTTTCACATAGATATCTCGAACAAAAGCTCGAAAACTCCGGGTACGTTTTGCGCTTACTCACGACAGCGACAAAAAATGTATTGCGTCGCGAACAATGGCGACACGGTGATTAATATCTGTACAATAAATCTGGTGTCGCGAGCGAACCAGTTTAGTGTGGCTAAGGAACGCCGGTATATTATAATGATATATAGCGTGCCACAGTTTATTACAACTACATGTTATAGATTTCAATAAAGTTAATGTTCCTCCATTGTCTTGTTTTACATGCATTGGATTAATAGATGTAAATATCCTCTATTAGAAAAACAATAGCTTGTCTGTAACTCGTTATATTAAAGTAATAAAAAAATTAAGTAAATAAAATAAATTTCCAATTTCAGTCGCATTGAAATTTTAAAACAGTTCCTTAGAAATTTAGGTGTTTCGTCTCATAGTGCTTTCATCTTAATAATGATGATCATACCTAGCAAAATCGTATCAAACATTTGATGCACAGTAGAAATAACCCGCTATGGCTCAATTGTGTTGTGTTCTAAAACGTTCCGAGATGGTCAGTGATTAAACTTTACAACTTCTAATTTGTTTGCGCTTCATCAATAACTATAATTAAGAAAAACTCGTGTTATTAAATAAAACATTCAATCTTCGGACTAATCAATAAGTTTATTTGATACTTCAACATTAAACATTTCGATATTTTGATCACATTTCTTGTTTATATTAATTTTTTATTGTTTTCGTCGAATGGGTTTAATTTGGGGCTATTAAATTGATTTCGTAGAACTTCAATTCAATGTTTTCAATTAAATAATTATGTAAAACGATCGTTATTAAAATTGTTCAAAGGAAAGAGACTTTTCGGCCAGCGATAAGTTTTGATGATAGCAATCTCGATTTCCCCATCTAATTTGGGCAAACTTAAGAGCTACATAGAAATTTACTGTAAAACTTATCTCCCAATTTAATTACAAGTATAAATGATAATTAATCATTATCAATTTATTTAAAGATGATGGTTAATTATTGAAGCAATGTATTTATTTATTTTCAACAGTGTCTCGCGGTATAATTGTGGGCAGCGAGACTCGCGAAGACCTTGATACAACGCAACTTACCCTTCGGCTTACCAAGCTCATCAGAGCTACCTTAGGTGAAGACCAAAGAGACAAGACGGACATCAGCGATCAGGACGAATACTATAGGTAAGAACATCACGGTTATGAAATTGAATACCAATGGTTTGAAAACATTTATTTATGTAAAGCGTAGGAGAGCCATTCTGCGGCACGTATGGGCCGGCTCGACCAGAGTGATACGATGGCCTCACAGTAGACCGATGGTAAACAACTGGTAAACTGGTAAACAATTTGTACGTTACTTCTCACCGAGTGAGAGACATAAGTCGTTTTATTTCTGTAAGTCGTTTTAGCAATCATGATCATACTAGTTTAGACTTAGTTTATAAGTACTAGTAATGGAATTTTTCTACTTTTAAATAACAATCATATGATGATTTGCTTTGTCACTGCGATTTCACCTGTGAAAAATCACTTCTGGGTTTTCGCGAGTCTAGCGCTAGTAATCATATTTAAGTCGCATCATAATCATAAGTCGCAGTGGTTGAGTAACTTAGTCAAAGGTGTGATTATATGATTTATAAATCATATAATTTATATCAGGTGATTTATATCTTGTGACTTTATTCCATTCCTAATTCTAGGAATGTCCCTGGACGCTGGTAGTTACTATCAGGTGATGAAAAAATATGTTAGTAAATATTTTAGGAAAATTAAACATGCCAGAGGCCACCTCATTATAGCGGTTATCATAAAACAGTGACACACAATCTGCATTTGTCGTTTTCATTAAGTTGCGTATTTCTCAAAACGATCTGTATTTTGAGATTGCCGTGTAATGCTTATACGTACTACAAAACCAAACATCTGAGTAAAGCCTTAAAAATGTTTCTTGGTTATCAAATATTCTTCTCGTTTGGGAATCGAAAATGCCTGGAGACCACAACTCCATGCCTTTTAAGTTTGCGGTCGGGTTATTAGTGGCCATTTAAACCGCTCGGTATTTTTTCTTTTGAACATTCACGACCAACGTATAGATTGGGAAAGTTGTATAATTGTTGTCGCCGTATCGATAATTGTGGATAACCGTTCAACATGTTTATTACGTTGTTATATAATCACACAATACCTTTTACTGTTAATAGACAATAACTCTTTCTTTATTTTTAAATTTACTAATGATTGATAGATTAAATAGTACCCACCTAAAGGATCTCAGATGTGAGACTTTAGGGTGCCAAAATTTGCATTAAGCAGATACTTCCACTGCTTTGGTAATTAATAATAGCTAGATAATTGTTGATTATTAAACCGATTTAAAAAAGGTGGTACAATGTTGCACTGCATGTATTTTGTATAAATGAAAATTTAAACTACGGTAGTTGCAACACTTACCATGTAGTTGTCCAGTCTGTAATCAGATAGTCCTTTCAGAGAATTACCTACATGCTGTAGATATTATCTAGACTGCTCGTTTCCACAACACAAAGTGGATTTACTTACTAAAAGTTTTATCTTCGTTGAATCTCTTGGATAAAAAATTAAGTCAGTATATGAATGCCGTATTAGGTATATGGGATTCATTAACTGACTTAAATTTTTGTAAGTTTATCTGCATTAATATCTTCTACATGTCATTAAGTGAAGATAATATTTTAGAAACTTTCGGAATTATCATAGTGTACAATTTGTAATTCTTGAAGTTAATATAATATGTAGGTAAAGCCCAGAACGCTAAAATTTTAAAACACTGTGTGTTGTAAATTTAAAAATGACGTTAAAACGGGTCCATGAAGCAATACGCTCTTATAGTACGAGTATACCTGTCATAGGACGGAGAGCTAATCGATCACCGACCACCTAGAAAAAAATACAAAACCTATGGTCAAAATTCGACCACCAGGCGATACCGATTTACCGGTAAAAAATAGATTTTTATATGATTTTAGCGTCAAAATAGATAATTTAATTTTTTGATGAGTTTGAACAGTCACAACAATGTAAGAGCCTTGAAATACTATGAGGTCCCTGTGTCCTGTACAACTCAAACAGATTGTCTATACAAGCCAAAATATACACAAATAAAAAACAATTGTTCTTTGCTTAGTTTGATTTCTAAAATTATTTTCTTTCTAGTTTTGCATGATCATTGATGCTAATTGGTTATTATTCCTACAGGTATGAAATCGACAACACACTAGAGCGCACTACACACCGCAACCACCGGCGGCGGAAACCGCGAAGTTTACACGCGCACGTGCACGTCTCCTCGGTGTGTGGAGCGGCCGCGGGCGCCGGTGAGTTCTTGGTCATGGCGCGGCGGAGGCTCGGCCGGTACTCGCTCGTCTGCGCGCCCAGAACTGAAGACTGGAGCGAGCTGGTTAAGAGAAGAAACGCTGAAGGCACCGCGCATTGCTTGTTGCAACACTAGAAGTGCTGCGAAAGTCACGTAGTGATAGCAAGAAAAGTGCCATGACAGCTGAACTGAGTCTTAAGTGTAGTAAAACGGACGCGCACCCATATGAGAATAAAATCAGGTCACGTACGTCATACGATACGAGAACATAATTATTAAGAGGTTTTGGCCAATCTGTAACCTGTGACGAAGTATCGAAGGCTTGTGTGGTGTTGCTCCCGTGAACACTATAAAGCTGTGTGCTTTAGATTTATTGATTCAACTGTGAAACACTGTTGTTTCCTTTCCTATTATTTCTGAAAAAAATTGTTGCTTGCCATAACATCAGCTTGCGTTTTATTGCAATATTGTAAAAAGTATCTGTTTCTTAGTTATGTATCAAATATTGTACTATTTACTATAAATGTTTTTCATTAGATATAAATAAAAAAGATGTGGTCCAGAGTGCCAAAATATGTAAGATCTTCATAGTTGCAAGTAAGGTCGATCTCAAATGTACATATTAAATTTAAGTGGGAAGTATAAAGCCATATTAAATAAGTACCATAGTTAGATAATATATTGCAGTGTTGAGTGTGATTATTTAGAACAAATATAATATCTTTATCTTTCTGATTTAGTGCCACCGTTGTTACTGAAGAACTTTTATGTAGCTTATTTAAACTAAACATCCGTTTGTAATTATCGTTTCATATTGCGTACATATCTTTTATAAACATAGAAGTTAAGGTATTGTGGACTCTATTTCTACAAAATTACATCTGTGAATGTAATTGACAATGTCACGCTGTTGTAACTCTAAAGCATCCTACATCTCAATATTGATGCGATTATAAAAACTGGAAACGTTGAGAATGTAAGTTTTCAAATTGTGATATAAATGTGTACATATTTGCCTGTTTTCATAAATTGCTTTATTTTATTAAAACTAGTAAAAGTTTACTAATTTATTAAAAAAAAATGAGATCATGAATTCGGTTCCCATATTGAGTAAATAGATATTTTTCACTGCAGAACTATTTTGGAATATACAGTATTAATAATAATAATTGTAAGAACAAATATGTACCCTTAATCTACTCGTATATAACTACTATCTTCATATGTATCCCGAATCCATGGTGCTCTTGGTATAAAAGTCTCCCGTGCTTCCATTGCAAATTAATTTGAACAATATTAGATTTATATTATAGATAATACTATCTGAACGTATACCATTCAGCCATTACGAATACTTATTTAATATATATTGTACAAAATTATAACTGTAGTTGTCGATATGTGATATAGTTTACAACGATATGTTATCAAGTGCCTATTGTATATAAAAATATAGAAATATTAACAATACATAATATTTATAAATATATACATATTATGTAAAAGGATAACTGTTGAATATAATAGTTTTAAAATTAGACCCAGTCTTTAATTTATTTTTGTATTATATGTGTATGTATATATGTATGTTTTTAATTGATAAACCTTAATTTTTTTTGCATTGACGACTAATTCCTAATTTTAGTAACTTGACCAGGAAAAAAAAACAAATAATTAAAACTATATTATAGTATCGCTGCGTCTGTCTATCTACTTGAAACCGATGAACCCCAAAGTAGTAAACGAACAGATATTCGCACATAATCATCATCAAAAATCCGGGTGGTGACGGATTAAGAATACAGTGTCCTCTGTTCATACCGCGGGTGTTGTAAGAGCCGGCTAAAGGAGCTAACTACGTAGGACAACAGCACTGCAAAGAGAAGGATAGCCCCGTCCGGACAGCGTGGTACAGTAGGCCAAAGCCTCCTTTCTAAGGAGAGGCCTACTCGTATGTCCAACAGTGAACTATTAAAGGATGATTCGCACGGTTTTCATTAATGCATTGAATGTTTCATGAGAAGAGTTTAGGGCAATTATGAGTATGGAGAATTGGCTCGAGAGGCATCACGGGGCTATCTCATACCGGCTGAAGTTGGTGATCACCGGGAAAGGATGCTTCGGAAATCATCTGTGTCTGATCCGCAAGGAGCCAACGCCTGAGTGTCAACACTGCGATTGCCGGATCGTGGACACGGCGCTCCAAACGCTGGCAGAGTGCCCGGCGTGGGTTGAGCAGAGGCGAAACCTTGTGGCGGCCATCGGAGTGGGAGTTCTCTCGCTCGATAGCCTGATTGCGGCTATCGTGCGGAGCGAGAGTGCGTGGAACTCTGCCGTCTCCTTCTTCGAGCAAGTTATGCTCGCGAAGGAGACGGCGGAGCGGGACCGGGAGAGGTTTAGAACTTTCCCGGCCCGCCAGGCCCGGGAACGGGCTAGGTACCGCAGGCGACTCAGGCGCCGGAGGTTGCAGAACGACCTCCGTGCTCCATAAGCGAAGGCCTGGGGGTGACAGGTGAGGCCATCTGTCACCCTAGCAGAAGCAGGCCGGGGTGGCGGCGAGCGCGTTGCGAAGCAAGCTCGCTTCCAGGGAGCACAGGAAACATGGGGTTCCCACACGGGGGGGGGGGGGGGGGTCGTCTACTCGTCTGTAGATGACCCGAGGTATGTCGGGGCACCAGGGACTTCCTTTCTAGGGTATACCTGGTTTCCCGGCTATTAGTACCCGAGACGGCGTGCGGTTTTAGTCGGTTCGAGTCCGACATGCCACCATTTTTTTTTTGTTCTTTTTTTTCCCGTGCGGAAATGCCCACGGATACCACCCAACGGTCGGATGGTTATGTCGGACTCGAACCGACCAAAAACTGCACGCCGCACTATGGAAAACGGTAGGACAACGGCATATCAAAAGTCGTTTTTACTAATATCGTTATTGACGCACTTTTAAAAGTTTATTGAATAGTATAAGAATGAAACTAATATAATGTAGTAATTTGGTATGAATGACATTTGGAATATATGTTTTTTAATAACACAAAGTGTAATTCTTAAGAATGTCTATTTCAGGTTTGTTCGCTTCAATACTTTAAAATTAATTTATTTCAAAAATTTGTGGGAATAAAAAAATATAAAGTGTTATACATTTCTATAAAGCCCATTATATGTAGATTTTAAAGCAATTATAATATTGCAGGTTTTATTATTACATTTTTATGAAAAAATTAACAAGAAGTAAGGGGAAGAAGGACAATTTTTGAACTTCATCGAGGCTTTTGACAGGAATCGACAACTCTGCGACGCGTAGATATTCGTAAATAACAGTTATAAAATTCTGCTGCGGATAATTGCGGTTAGTTATCACGATAAGTATGGTCAAGGTCATATCACAAGTCAGGACGCAGAAAACCACTATCTATTGTGGTTTCTATTCTCTAACTATTTAGTTGATTAGTTTGCAGTATATTTTTAATTTATATTAGTTGTTTATTGATAATAGGGCATTTTATCTACATTTTGCACTCAGTTTGCGGACGACTTTAATAAACAAAATGCACACCACCCTCATTTATCAAATAATATATAAAGTTGTGTGAGTGGCCTTTTTTTATGGAGTAGGGGGCAAACGAGCAGACGGGTCACCTGATGGAAAGCGACTACTGCTTCCTTTAATGTCGCTATTACAAATACGCAAATTCGTAATAAACTAAACAGACGTATGACTGTTTTGTATCTTTATTAAATTTCAAAATGTCTACTGCTTTCAAGTGTTCTAAGCGTGAATTATTACTTTCATACATTGAAGAAGGAAAAAACCTTGAAGCTCTATCAACAGTTTTAAAAGCAAACTATAATGTTTCTGAAGAGGACATGTGTTTTATTATCAGTGATATTCAAAGGAATCTTATTCCTCGCTTTAATAGACGATTGGCAGAAACGTAGAGGAAATCGGATACATTTTTTAAAAAGTATAACGATTGGTTGGATTTAGAATATTTGGTAACTTTACCGAACTCAGAAGTAACACCTGATATTGCGCCATCTTCCTCTGGAAAACGCGAAAGACCCTGTTTATCTTACTCGTCAGAATCAACAAAAAAAAAGAAAAATATCGCGCTACTTAGTGAATATGGCTTTGAAACCATTTACAATGCCTTTGTTCAGGGATTACATTCAATAGGAAAAGGAATAGCAAAACCCGTGGAAACGCTAAGGCTTACTGATAGTGATACAAAGTCTCTATAGTTGAATCTTATAGATAACACAAGCCACAGCAAAATTCTAATGGATCATGAGGCATTTAGTGTTTTCATTGATTTAGATTTAACAAAAGCACAATATATGTATTTAAGGAATTTAACTAACGAACAAACCAGTTATACCTATATTGCCACCATATTATAAATTACAAGAAATCAAACCAAGATGTTATCCACCAGCATCAGCAGTAGAAATTACAAATACACATGCAAAAATACTGAATCTTCAAGATTTATTGGACCATACTGCAGCTAAAATTTTGGCTATAGATTCTGTGTATAAGAATGGATTGAGCCATTTCGTTTTATACAGTAAATGGAGATGTGATGGTTCATCTGTTCAAAGTCAGTATAAACAAAAACTTCCAGAGGAGTCTGAATTTGTTTCTGATGGTATTTTGTTTATTACATCTTGAGTGCCTATCAAATGAATGAATGAGATAACGGACGGTATTGTCAGGCTTGGGGCCATCGTTGATTAATGAAGAAGGTAAAGGAGTGAATGTGAAGCATGAACTGTTTATAACAATGGTAGATGGCAAAGTAGCTCAAGTATTAACGGATACACCCTCTGGTGCCATATGTGCAATTTGTGGCGTTACTCCACGGCCGCTATAAGGATTATGAAAAATTTCGCCTCCATCATGCCAGGAAGTGCTCTCGATCAGCTACAACTGAAGATGTATTTCATACTCTTCTCTGCACATCAGATCCATAAATTTCCAGAATTAGGAAAACATACAACAAAAGTGTGAAGGCACTTGATGAAGATACACCAGATCTTTTAAAAGTGAACGAACTTATTATGAATCCCGAAGTTCGCCAAGTATAATTAAGCGTAATGTACTCTTATTTATTTATTATACCGACAATGTGGTTTTC